GAAATACCCAGTCTGAATGCTTGGCTGAGAAGACAGTGCTAGGAGAAAGGTTTCCATCAGGACCTGGAATGCTTCCTGAATAAATGGAGCCGGTATCACGGGGAGGCACTTCACCTGACCTGTAGAAGACCAAGCTGCTGGCACTTAAGAAAGCTGTGAAGGAACTTATAAGCGGAGGAGCAGTAGCAAGCTGACTGGCATGGAAGAGTATATGCTTCAGGAGGACTCCAAGGATGACTTGAGAAGTCTGTATCCTCAGGTAAAGACAGGCTAGAGGGGGTATATCAAGTAAGAAAAAAACCCACTACCATTTAAATAGGCATGAACAAAGGAGCTAAACCAGAGATTTATCTGCTATAGACATAAATGGGAAGAAGGTGGGGGAACTGAAGTGTCTGGTCCTAACTCGATTTACTAAATTAAGCTCTTGCTTAAGTGTTTTCAGGACTGGAACCTTGGTGGTGGCAAGACATCCAATGACTCAATTTAACCTCTTCCAAAAAAGAGGGAAACCAAAACCACTTACCATGGCCAAGGAATGAAGGAAGAGCCAAAAAACCTGAGCTAAACATAGATGGACATTCTACTGTTCTCTCAGGGTTTGGATTACAGTGAAAGCAGTGTTTAGTGCTAAAAATTCAATCAGTAAACCAACAGAAAGTACTAGATGACTTCAACCAGCTAAAGAGCTTAGAGGCTAGCAATGCTGTTTCTTAAATTAACAAATGCATTTAGTCTGTAGACACATGTCGCTTCTCCATTTTTGTCTGAAATGTTGTTGCAGGTGCAGAACTGCCTTATGACAGGAACAAAGACACAGCTTGCATTCTCTTATTTATGCAGTTATATCTCGGTGCAGATGGCACATGTACAGTTTTAAGAGCAGAAAAGAAGTTGGCTCTCACACCTAAAAGCTCCTTATTTTTGTAGCTGAAGACAAAAAAAGTTCACTTCAACAAAGGAAGAGAGTAGTAAACATTTATTGCATGCAAATCACCAACACAAAACACACCTAAAAATCATAGCCATTTCTTTTAAAGAGGTGAAAATAAGCAGTTACCATGCCAATGTTGAAAAGCAAGCTCAACCTTATGATCAAGACTTCTGGGGAGGAGGAAGGGATATGCATGACATTTTTCACACAACTGATAGCTAAACACAGCAGTTATAAGAAA